CTGGCCTTCTTTAATATGCAGTTACTGAGCTCCAGTGTTGGCATCGAAGACAAGAAAATGGTAAGAATGTTTAAATTCCAAAGTTCTAGAATAAAATTCATATAGAATATGCAGGAAATATGTTTCTGCTTCTAGCTGCAAACATTGAAACATAAAAAGTAATCAAATAAGCTGGACATGGTTCCAGCATGTGAGAGACTGAAGTAGGAGATTAGCTGAGCATTTGTGGCCAGACTGGGTTACATAATGAGTTTTAGGCCAGCCTAAGCTAAGAGTAAAATTGTGTCAATAAAGAAGAGATCAGGGGATGGAGAGATGGCCCAGCGGTTAAGAGGACTGACTGCTCTTGCGGAAGACCCGGGTTCAATTCCCAGCACCCACATGGCAGCTATGAACCGTCCTTAACTCCAGGTCCAGGGGAATCCGAAGCCCTCTTCTGACCTCCGCAGCATTGCATGACATGGGTGCACTCACATACATTCAGGCAATACATTTAAACACATAAAAATAATTTTAAAAAAAAGATCAAACATTTAACATCTATTATTAATTAACTTTTTCGTTTTTAAAAGACATTTTAAAAATAGGAATTGTACCACTTGTAGTTCTTTTGTTTTGAGAAATAGAAACCCCAACCCAGACTAGCTTAAAGAATTTGTTAGATCTGTAACTAAATGTGTAAAGACAATACAACTTAAGCTACAACTTGATTCTGGATTCAGAGAACATTTTCAGAATCAGTCTCTTGGGTTGGATTCACCCCAGGTTGGCTTTATACTTTTGTTGTTTTTTGGGTTTTGAAATAGGGTCTTGTTCTGTAGCACAGAGTACCTTGCGTTTACAGTAGTCCTCCTGCCTCAGCCTCCTGAGTGCTGGGATTGATTATGATAGAGAGCCACCATGCCTAGCGAGCTCTATGCTTAATCATCAGTTAATAACCTCTGTGGTTTTTAAAATCACAACATCTAGCCCGATGGAAGACAGACCAGTAGTCGCTGATACCTAATGTCAGTTATGAAATTGAATTTAATTGGTTCAACTGGGTCTGATGTATTTGTGAGGTTAGTGTGTGTGTGTGTGTGTGTGTATTAGCATGCATGTGCCACAATGTGCTTGTGAATGTCAGAACGTATGGGTAGGTTCTATTCTTCACCATGTGGGTTGCACGGATTGAACTCAGGTCATCAGGCTTGGTAGCAAGCACCTTTACCTGCTGAGCCATCTTGCTGGTCTAATGGCAACTTATTTCAATCTTCACTCCCTTTGTAACTTTAAGGATCCAAGTAAGACATATGCAGCAACATTAAATTCTAATAGCCAGTGTCTGTTGTTTAAATATTAACTAGTAAGTTTAATTCTTTCAGCAACTTGTTTTCCTTCTACATGGCTTCCCAAATGGCTATCCCAAATGAGAGAATGACTTTAAGTCTAAGGAGAGTGGAATTTATATTACAGCTGTAAAGAGATTAGCCAGAGACTCTCTTTACCCTTCCTTGGAACCTAGAACTATCGATGCAGTTCTCATTGTGTCACATTCTGAGTATGTCTACCGCTTGTTGTACTAAATTTGAATTTAGCGTCATTAAGACGAAACTTCCCTTAATTCTTGAGCATTGTGAGGCATTCCGCGTAATTTTTTTTACAAATAATTTATGTATATTTATACCTGAATTTATGTTAGTGGTGTAGAATAGATATGAAGGGAATAAAATAATATGTAACATATCTGTAGTAAATGTGAAGATTTACTGATCTAAAGGACCATTGGACTAGCAGGATACCTTCAAGGGCAACAAAAATAAGAACTTGTATTTATCTCATAATTGATTCTCATGTAACTTGTCAAAATGAACTGGCCAATCTTTTTCAGACCTTTTATGTTCTATGAATAGATGAGGCCCTGACATTTATGTAGAGAGTGCTTGTTTCTGCCACTTACCTGCTTCTGGCAGCTTGTGTATAAGTTTTATTTTTAACCACTACTTTCTTTATAGGCCTTGAATAGTTTGATGTCTTTGATGGGATTGATGGGACCTAAGCATGTAAGTTCTGTGAGGGTGAAAATGATGACCACGCTGAGAACTGGCCTTAGATTCAAGGATGATTTTCCTGAGTTATGTTGCAGGTAAATGACTGTTTCAGTTGCTCTGTTTTTTTATATTTCTCAATAGCACTAACTTGAGTTCTTCCCTCTATGAGAGAAAAAGGGCTTAAAACTGTAAATAACTGGTAGAAAGATTATTTTCATTGAAAAGAGAATGTATTTACTTCTTTAAAAAAAACCATTTACTGGAGTTGGAAAGATGGCTCAGTGGTTAAGAACACCTGCTGTTCTTGCAGAAGACCCGGGTTTGAATCCCAGCACCCACATGGCAGCTAACAACTGTCCATAACTCCAGTTCCAGGGGATCTGACAGCCTCTTCTGTCCTCTGCAGGCAATGCATGACATGGGCGCACTTACATACATGCAGGTAATACACACATACACGTAAAACAAAAATAATTAATAAAGCTGGGCATGGTGGTGCACCTTTAATCCCAGCAGAGGCAGGTTGATCTCTGTGAGTTCAAGGCCAGCCTGTTCTACATAGTGAATTCCAGGACAGCTGGGACTACAGGGAGACCTGGTCTCAAAAAGACCAAAAAAAGAAAAAACCTTAATAAAACATTTTTTAAAAAATCATTTACTATGGAAACCTAACAGGAAATAAAAATTATTAATGGACACCACTACCACTACCACCTTGCCCCATATCCTTACCACAGATGTATTTATTGGAAGTGCATTTAAAATAATAACCACTATAAACTGCTGTACATATTCATATTTCCTCCTTTTATCTCATAGATATTTTTCCCCAAAGATGTTGTTTGTTTGTATAAGACTCTAAAATAAAATTCATATATCACATGTGATTGTTGGCCTCTAAAGTATCTCTTTTTCCTTTTTTTAAATATATTTTATTTAGTATTTTTATTTTATGTGTATAAGTGTATTGCTTGCATGTATATGAGTGCACCCGTAGGTCCTCTGCAAGAGCAGTCAGTGCTCTTAACCACTGAGCCATCTCTCCAGCCCTAAAGTATCTCTTATAAATTAACTGAGCCTTTAAATTCTCTCCCCACATTTATTGTTTTTCTTAAAATTCTATTTTGGAGCAGGGCGTGGTGGCACACACCTTTAATCCCAGCACTTGGGAGGCAGAGG